AAAAATCCTCTTAACCAAGTATTATGCAGATTTGTGCAACACATAGTAGTAATTTCTTCTCGCTGTTTACGCATATAGTAGAAAGGTTGATTTCAAGGGTCATTAAAAATTGTCCATACCTATGTATACAACAATTATTCCTATAATCCATACTTAGTAAGGGAATAAATGGGTAGAATGTTTTCATTGTAGTGGCGGTGTGAATATATATATATATATATATATATATCTATATCTAAGGATGCCAAGTCCTTTTATTTTAATTAAAGAAAAATGGACAACTGCTTCTTAAGTTAATGAAAAGTTAACATTTTTAAAAAAGTGATGCCCAAGTAATTTAATAAAATATATAAGTGTAATAAATTTATTGTTAAAAATTTCCTTTACCCCCACGTAAAGTGAGTGGTGTCGTGACCACATTCTATCTTATCTATCAAATTTTGAATAGTCCATGATACACATATATTTGGATATTGCACAAGTTCGTGGTAATATATATAATTTTAAAAATATAATATAATCCATAAAAAAATTATTTTGAACAAAACCTATTAATAATAATAAATAATAATAATAATAAAATTTCTTGACATAACAAGACTTATTATCTCCATTAAAATACTACTAAATTTATAGAACTCTTATAAAAATAAATATATATACTAATACATCGTAGCTAAGAATGTTTCATATATAATTAAGATATATTAGGAAAACAATAATATTTTCGGATTTTGATTAAAATACAATGTTATCAAGTCAAGTGCGGTACGACAATAAAACTCTCAAATTTAGATTCGTAAGACTTCTATACGTTAAAAAAATGACAATCATAAAAGCATGAGGTGTTACAATTATCTCAATCAGCAGGAAGACATATGTTTTAAAAGCATAAGAGCCAGTACATTTTTTTAGGAGTAGTATCGAGCACCGAGTTGGGGAGCGTTCAAGGAACCCACAGCCCCCATAGAACCATGTTAGCCACCATGGGTAGAAAAGGATCATACTTTTTAGATGAGTCCTTTTCCAGTTAGACTAGTGGATCCATTAGGCAGTTCAGGTCTTATACCTTTGGCCGGGTATGGAATGCTCTGGCAGCGTGAGGTCGATCGCTGTATCATCACTATAGCTCCATGTGATGGTTGTCGGTTAGAGAAACTCCCACAGCAGTTATTGTATTTTCATACACAGAAAGCATTGTATTTTATATACATCAGTTCAATTGTATTTCTATATACATCTCAGGCTTATTGTATCTTTGCATACACACAGAGTTTATAGCATGTTTTAAACAG